AAAAAAAAAAAGAAAAGAAAAGAGCCAACAACGCTCTTAACCCCCTTTGATCTACGCTTGACAAATACGAATACACGCGGCGGGCGTGTAGAAGCGACAGAGACGAAGGGATGAAATTCTTATCGCGGAGAAACTCGACACGAGCGCGCCCACTGTGGCATCGAATCGATACGAATTGTCCGGTTGGTGGCAGGCCTCCAGAATCACCGGCACAACCATATCGAGGTCGGTAGCGAGATACTCGTGCCCGCGGCCCCTTGCTTGACGGACGACAACGTGAGACAGAAGCTGGACGCGGGCGCGATACTGGTTCACGGGAAGGAGGAACTCCCGTTGGGATACGAGGAGGCGGACAATAACAGGAAACGAAGGCCGTACAGCACGGGACAGATCAATCACGAGCGGGTGAACAACCTGGAGAACGACGAGGAGCATCGGCGGCTGAGCGACGACGAATTGGTGAGGGTGCGCCGCACGGAGGGGGGGCGCAGGCGTCTGCGTTCGGCCGGCTCCGACCAGGAGGAATACTACACGGGGCGGAACAAGAACAAAAACGACGACCAGTTGAGAGATAAAAACGCGAACGCGCGTATCACGCGCGGCAACCTGACCACGCACAGGCAGAGCGCCACCCTGCCCAGAAGGAGGCGAAGACGAGCATTGTCGGGCAGCTTCGCGGGCAACCCACTGCCGCCGCACCGCGTCACACCAGACGGAACAGCTATCTACTATTGGTGCGAGCTCCCGCGCCGCCCCGGCTCACAGGGTAAATTCTTCTTCCCCCCTGCCCAAAAAAAAAAAAAACACCTCTACACCACATATGTGTATATATATATACATAACCGATCACGCGTTGATACACGGTTGATCCGTGAACGACCGTTCTCTTTTGCAGCTTAAGCTTTAAGCTTTTTCGAGTAACAGAGATGGGCAAAATGGCTTAATCACGGATGAATTTCTCGTTAAAGTAAAGTAAAGGGGGAACGTATTCAGTTATTGGTTTCTGAACTTACTATCGGTCCGCGATGCGTTAAGAGTTGAAGTTATTTGGAAATGATTTTATGTAATAAATGTTACATTCGAAGGTTTTTTTTTTTTGAAGTAAAAATCGGTGAGAATAACTTTATTCGGAAAAATTTTAAATTGATTAATTTTTAGTGCTCAACTCTGCCTCGTGAAAAGAAATAAAAAAAAAACAGAGTTTTGTTTCCGGTAAGTGGATTCTGTTGCGTGACCAGAGAGTTTTGTTTCGAAGCATGGAGCAAGAGTTTGTTTTATTGATACGCTCTAGGATTACTTCTTTCGTTATGGCGAGAATTTAAATTGAAATTTTTATATGCACAGGGTAACGGTCGTTCATCGAGCAGCTCGTGTGCAACACCCAAAAATGTTGCAGTCATGTTGCCCATTGTATTCAATCCAATTCTTGCACATTCATACATTCCTGCTTAGGAAGGTGCCAACCATGCTCAGCCAATGACTGTGTTTATGAGGATGGTGAAATTACAATGGCAACGGGGGTGCGAGACTTCTAATCGGACAAATTCTAATCGTGACTTCGTGGAACCACGTCGTCGTGTTCCACAGTGCTGGTGGTGGTTTTCTGATCGACGGGAAAATTCGAAACAAAAAAAAAATAACGACGAGTTAACGCGAGTTTCACCACCGGTATAAACATGGTCATCCACGATTAGGGACAAGCATTCACTGACACGAATGATAAGAAACGGAATAGAAACGAAGTAGAATCTGTGTGATAGCAGAGAACGATCCACCTTTTCTTTCTGCTTCACAACGTTCGATTATTCGGAGAAAGGAACGAAAGAGGCGAGACAGGAAAAAAAAAAAAAAGATGGGAGAAAAGATCAAACGTTGTGTACGTAGAAAGAAGAAGAAAAACTAGTGCATCCCTGTTCGTGTTTATCTTATTTTCTGCGCACCTGTAGCTGATGTGCATCATTGTAAAAAAAAAAAAAAAAAAAAACACCTCGACATATTTTTTTCGTGTTACTTAACACCTTACTGTTCCTCGTTTCACCAACGATTACTTTACTTATTACGCCATTCCGCGTCACAAATTTGAACAGATTCTTTGATTCGAGCAAACCTCGGTCCGATTCTATCGCTTCCAAAGTGACCCGTTGCCCTCTGCAATTGCTTCCATCCGACTGATCGACACGAATCATTGCAGGATCATAACGATCGTTGTGACAGATTCGTTAGCGATAATCGATTGGTTCTCTCTGTGCCGGCAGAGTTGGACGACGGCGCTTACAACCCTCTGTGGACTATGCGAGGATTCACGCAGACGTTCCACTTCTGGAAAGAGACCAGACGAGCCCAATCCGTTCCCCTCAACGCGTTTCTCACGTATATCACTCTGCCCTGGTGGAGCATTGCCAAAGGTGAGTTAAACGAGAAACGCTATCCCTAAAAACACGGATAAATTCTTCGTGATTATTTTCACTCTTTCTTTCAGATATTCTCGACCATCGAGAAGGACCTATATTAACGTTCTAGCCAACACGAGGACGTCCCATTTTTATTTCTTTTATTTCGGATCTCTCTTTTCCATTTCGTTCACCACTTTGTACGCACTTGGATAGAACGCGCGTGGCCCAACAAAATCGAAGTGTATAGAATAAGAAATAAACGAGATACGAGATTTATAATTCCGTTCACTTTATTTTTCCCGCAGTGACCAAATCTACGAATCGGGAAGAAGAAAACGAAGAGAACGAATTAAGAATAGAACGGAAGGAAAGAAGAAATCACGATTCGTGGATTCACGATGCGGCGATAACACGTTCGATAAAAAAAGAATTTTCTCCTCCAGTTTATCGGTTTATGCAAAAGTTCCACCTTCAACTGACGTTATTCGCGAACACGTTCAAGTAATCACCGAAATTGGTCCACGTGTGGTCCCAGTAATCTGGATTTGCTCTCTTGTCCCAAGGGAGGTTACCAGGTAATATCGCAGTCGCGTTTAACACGCGTAGCCTCTCCTTCAGATCGGACACAACGGATGGATACCTGAAATAAAAATAATATTCCTTCTTCCAATCTTTCCCTCATCCATCGAGCGTACCATCTCTGTATATACCTACTTCTCTATAAGATTGTTGTCCTCGCAGGGATCCTGGCGGACGTTGAACAAGCAAGGGGCCTCCAACGGTTTGCACAACGGCAGATTATCATTCCTCGGGGGACACTTGATCATGGCGTCCTCTCGAAGCCTGCGAATATTATCCGCGGACAGTGACAAGCCCACGCTGGCCACCGCTCGGCCAGCTACGCTCCCGATCACGCCTCCGACGTCGTACACCCACTCTCTCCCGGATGGACCGTACCAACCGTCCCATTGACCGTTGTAGGTAGTCCCTTAGGGGGGAAAGAGAATCAAACGAGTTTCGATTCAAATTCGAATCTTTCGATCCATCGTCGTATCACCTCACAGGATACACGATTACTTTTTACCCTGAACGAATTTCCAATCGCCGTACGTGATCCCGGACAGTCCGAAAATGTCGTCGATATTGTGGAGGACCATTTTCCTAGGTGATTCCGTGTCCTCGCTCAACGCGTGCCACATATCCACGCCGTCTATGCTCAAATTCGATGGATCTCCACCGGCAGCTGTTAAGAGGGTCGGCAACCAGTCGCTGATGTGAATCAATTGCCTGCCGACTCTTCCAGGCTTTATTAGTTTCGGCGACCAAAGAAGACCGGCTCCTCTGACGCCACCTAATCCACGGACAAATTGGATAACCGATCATTTTTTTTTTCTTCTCTTCTCTTCTCTTTTCTCGCCCGTTATTCATCATTCTTCTTTACGACACTGAGTTACATTCAATTAGGTACTTTTTTTGTTTTTTAGAGATACCTTCCCAGAGAGTGTTTTTTGTGCCCCTCAGGGGCCAATTCGAGGCGGCGTTTAGGTTAAAACCGGCCGGTGGGCCCCCATTATCCGTGGAGAACACGATCACGCTGTTCTCCAGCATCTTTTTCTTCCGCAAAGCTTCCACCACGAGGCCGACCGACTCGTCTAGCTTGCTCAGCATGCCTGAAAAGAAAGAAACGATATTATACCGTACCATTTTTCTTAAGTTATTTATATTATTTATTTTCTTAAGACGGAAGAAACATTCGTTTCTTGAGCTTATTACGCACAAGAGGAAAGAGGAAGCTTATCTCACTTTGCACAGTACGATTGAAGCAAGATGGAAAATTCGAGTTCGAAAAATTCTTTTTCTCTTACAAAATAATTTAAATCGTGGACAGAGAAATTTTCGAGAAATAAGCGTAACTCTAGTTACCGGCAAAGCGTCTACGGTTGTAGTTGAAGATATTGGTGAACTTGGCGACGTCTTGGTCGTGCGCAGGCAGAGGGTTGTAAGGATTTCCTGAGTGGACTGCGGCGTGGGCCAAGTAGAGGAACATCGGCCGACTGGTGTTGTGATTGTCGATCAGTTTCACAGCCTCCTTGGTGAAGATATCCGTGGAATATTGGCCGTGGAGGTCCCAAGCTGGCTCCAATCCTCTCCTCATGTCCAATCCCCAATACGGCTGCGTTTAAGTCGAAAGGAATTTTTGTCGCGTACGGATGAACATTGTGTCGCGATCACGATTTAATTTCTTACTTCTTCCACGGCACTGTGGTCGAAATAATCTTGGTGGCCGCTCCAGAAACCTATGTGCGAGTCGAATCCCCTGTACATGGGCGTGTATTCCTTCGTGTAGAATCCCAAGTGCCATTTACCTACTATGTGCGTGCTGTAACCGAGATCTCGAAGGTATTCCGGCAACAGTTTCTCCTGGAGAGGCAATCCTCTCGGCTCGGCGCATTTCAGAACCTAATTCCGCGAGGCGTTTAATTATTCTCGTTTCATGAATTATATACATCTATCGTGTGGAAATTTAATTTTTGTAATACGATTGAACTTTTGCAACGACGTAGAGTAGAAAGCGAGCAAAGGTCAGAACAAGCAACGATAGGTGTATATATATATATAATATAATTGAAACATACAGGTTTTGCATTCGTGTTCCCTTTTTTTTCAAATCAAATTCACTTTATACGTTCCTCGAGAGAGGAACCATTACCATTTACCATTTTTGATTGCTATATTTTCCAACGAACGAACTCGATCGAAGAAGTTTCTTTAAAAATTAAATTCTAAAAAAGTATCTTGATATCCATAAAATAAAATTTTTTAATATCAATAAATTTACATTGGATATTATTTTTATTGAAAATAGTTGAGCAAAAAAAAAAAGAAAAAAAATTCTCAAGAGTGGATTTGGTTTGGAAAAATTCATATTATAAAGCACAAAAAAGATAATCATCAATTTCTAATCGATCTGATTAATCGATTTCTAATCTAATCGATCCGCAAAGGAAAAATTGGGGCAAACGCGGTGACACGATGTTACGATTCCCCCCCCTCCCTTCTTACAAAAGACAAACAACGACATTCGTCCGAGAGCAACGAACCACGGCCGAATTAATATTTGCGCTTGTTGAGGCCGCCTTAAACCGACGTCATTTTATTTACAAGTCGATTGCTTAAATACTTAATGACGGTGTACCGCGTGCTGCATCCCGGTATGAATAGGATGTTTGCCGGTCATCAAAGCGCTCCTGGACGGGGTACAGATCGGGGTGACGTAGTATCGGTCCAGCAACAGGCCCGAGTACGCCAGAGCATCGATGTTCGGCGTCGGAATTTGGCCCGATCCGTGAAACCCGACGTCGTTCCATCCCTATTCCAACACACTCGGATTCCATTACATTAAGTTAATCGAGAACTACTGTGCTTATCGCAAAAAAAAAAAAAAATAAAAATAAAAAATAAATTGCATCTACCATTTGTTTGCACGTTTTAACAAATTAATAAAAATGCTTCGTTAAACGAAGATAAGGTATTGAAAGCTTCGTAAACAAGAAAGATAAGAAAGCTTCGTAAACAAGATTTAAAAAAAATAACAGGTGCATATCAACGACGATGATTTATGAACGTCGAATGAAAAGTTTTCTTTATCGTTCGAATTTCCTGGTAAAATGTTCATGACCACCAATGTGCGCGACAATAATAAAAATGTGTCGTAAAATAAGAAATTTATGCCACTTATGCTGCTTATATACACATTGGCACATTGTTAAACTCGACTTGTTACTCGAGTAAAAAAAATGGGAAAACTTGTGACTTATCCAATTTTTTCCTTTTCCTCTTTTCCGAGAATACCAACGATATAATAATTTTTACTTAATTCCTTATCGTGAGCGACGCAACACCAAGAGCAAGAAAAAGAAGAAAAAGAAGCTCACCAAATCGTCGGCAAGGATAAACACGATATGGGGCCGCGCGGAAGCAGCGGCCGCATGACCGAACACGAGCACTGTCAGACAGAGGCATGACGTTATTCCTCGAATCCGTATCATCTTGGAGATCGCGTCCACTCGTCTTTCCCGGGATCGCAAACCGGTTTACTTCTTTAACGAATATTATTAGTGTTATTTACGTAACGATTTATCAATATTTTCCACTCGTTCGCCGCGAATTCGATCGAGATTCCGATAAATATACGTGTATCGCACCAACGAGTTACGATATATCGGGAGATATCGAGGAACATAGGTGAAAAATACGACGATGAAGTAATAATTGTACGGATGTGTTAACGATAACGATAACGAAAGAATAATTTTATCTCGGTAAAGATGAAACGAAGAGGCGAGCACTCGGGCCGACGACCGGTGTTAAACTGTTCAACAGCTCTGTTCATCCTCTTGCACGAGGCGATAGCGAGAGCCCGCCTCCCACTTCGAACACACTTGGTGTTCTTCGTCGTTGCGTTGGACGTTCGAGGTTGGACGAGGATTTCGAGGATCTCAGGGGTCGTTGACACGCTCGCGTTGGAATCGAAGATGATGCGCGGAGAACGGAAACGTTTGCTCCTCCGACCGTCGAAAGGACGGTTGGCTTAGATCGATTTATTAACTAACTAAACGCGAAAAGTAAGAAAGGAAATGATTTAAATCAACTGTGTTGAAAATATAACGAAATATTAATTCGGAAAGCGAAAATGGTCGAAAATTGAAAATTGCGGCCATTATCTGATCGATGGAGCGAAATATAATAACGGATGAGCAAAGATGACAAAGTAAAATGATGATAATGATGAAAGGAAGATTCGGAAGCGAGGTGGTGGTTATTATCTGATCGTGAAAGTGGAACGAGAATATTAAGAGAAAATGGCCGAAAATTCGAGGGTGGTTATTATTATTCGATCGTGAAAATGGAGGCAGCACGATTATTAAGATGGTTATCGAGCATCAGCCACGGGTGATATAATTGCTACGAAAATGGAAGGCGTCAAACAGAAAGGGAAAGCGGAATCAAAGTGGAGAATTAATTGCAGTTCGTGTTTGGATCGTGACGAAAGACAGACTCCTGCGCGAGACTTGTTACAAATAAATACGATCGTTGCTATAATAAGAATCTGTTGCGTTTATTCGTGGATTGCTCGTTATCGTCCAATGGAAATTAAATAAAGCTATTGAATGATTAAAGCGTAAAGCTTCATCGACTAGAATTGAGTCTGATTATTGTCACTTGACCTGAACCCGCAAGGGGCAACGGCGATGTCACTCGCTTCCGCCATAATTTCG